GTAGCACATGTTCCAGCAAATCTAAACTTTAGCAATAAAAATAAAATCCAAAAGAGAAAATGTCACAAGATCCATGAGAATGTAGGACTCAGGTGTGTAACAAAAAAAAAAAAAAAAAAATCCAAGCTGACAGCAACATAGCAGCCCTAGAAAGCAATGCATCCAAAGAAACTCAGAAGACCTGGTGAAGACGGTGCTATTCCTACCAGAGCAAGTCTCATCCACTACAGAAATTATAGAAATAAGAACACAAAATAAAGATTCTAAGCAGATCCTGGTCGGCTCTAAACAATCAGATGAGCTATGTTATTCTTCAATAACAATTACAGCAAATAGAATGACAATTAGAAACCCAGGGAAAACAAAACAGTCTAAAAAGGTTGTGGTTCAAATTTGATGCAACTGAAGTGTGGGTAACTGTGGATAATTAATGGAGTGGAAAAAGAGACCTTCATTCATAGAACATTTTCCTTTGAGTGCCCAAGGTTTAATTACATAGTATTTTATTTCTTTTTCTGTGAGCCTAATCACAGTACTTGGTTCTACAGTAAATCGTGTTTATAAAATCATAATGCCTTAACTACTGTTTAAGGGTTTTCAATTTTTAGAATCAACTCCAAAAACAGAACACTTAATTATGGCTACTTCAGTATTTAAATCTATAAACATAATCAACAAAAGTGATATTATGGTTCACAGAAATCTGGAGGTAGAGAGCAAAGGAAAGTCTACATGCACTAATTTCCTTTTTTCATGTAGTGAAGAATCAATATAGAATCTTTCTAATATTAATACATCAAAAGGCTGGGCATGGTGGCTCATGCCTGTAATCCCAGCACTTTGGAAGGCCAAGGCAGGTGTATCACCTGAGGTCAGGAGTTTGAGACCAGCCTGGCTGGTTTCACCAAATGGTGAAACCCCGTCTCTCCTAAACTACAAAATTAGCTGGGTGTGGTGGTGTGCCTGTAATCCCAGCTGCTTGGGAGGCTGAGGCATGAGAATTGCTTGAGCCTGGAAGGCAGAGGTTGCAGTAAGCCGAGGTTGCAGTAAGCCCAGATTGCACCATTGCACTCCAGCCTGGGTGACAAAGCAAAACTCCATCTCAAAAAAAAAAGAAAAAAAAATACATCAAGAAATTCAGATTTACATACATTCTTTTTAAGCATAAATCTACTAAAAAACTAGTAATATTACAGATTAAAAAGACGAAGTAAAGGAGACGGGAAGAAAGAAAAGTCATATAATGCCCTAAATTCGTGATCTTTCCTATAATGTAGTTAATAGATACCATCTCATATAATTTGGATATGTTTCTGCCTGAATCTCATTTTAAAATGTAATCCCGAGGGTTGCAGTCAGGGCCCAGTGGGGAGGTGATTGGATCTCTAGGGCAGATTTCTCATGAATGGTTTAGCACCATCCCCCTTGGTACTGTCCTCACAATAGTGAGTTATTGTGAGATCTGGTTGTTTACAAGTGTGTGGTACCTCCCCCCCAAAACTCTCCCCCTCTACCTTGCTCTCACTACGGCCGTGTGATGTGCCTGCTCCCACTTTGCCATAGGTCATGATGGTAAGTTTCCGGAGACCTCCCCAGAAGCTGAGCAGATGCCAGCATCATGCCTCCTGTGCAGCCTGTGGAACCGTAAGCCAATTAAACCTCTATTCTTTATAAATTACCCAGTCTCAGGTATGTCATTATAGCAAGAGAGAATGGACTAATACGCTATCTAAAGTGGATAAATCAAGAATTTATATGTATCATCAAGTTACTTACATTCATGTGCTGACCGGATAACTAAAAACAGAAAATGTTAATCACAGGAGTAAATGTAAGCTATAGGGAGGAGAAACTTTACCTTTTATTGCATGTCTGTACCAGTTGTCTGAATTTTTATGCATGGGTAAAGAATAGGTGCTAGGCCGGGCGCGGTGGCTCAAGCCTATAATCCCAGCACTTTGGGAGGCCGAGGCGGGTGGATCACAAGGTCGAGAGATCAAGACCATCCTGGTCAACACGGTGAAACCCCGTCTCTACTAAAAATACAAAACATTAGCTGGGCATGGTGGTGCGTGCCTGTAATCCCAGCTACTCAGGAGGCTGAGGCAGGAGAATTGCCTGAACCCAGGAGGCGGAGGTTGCGGTGAGCCGAGATCGCACCATTGCACTCCAGCCTGGGTAACAAGAGTGAAACTCCGTCTCAAAAAAAAAAAGAATAGGTGCTCACCTTTTTAATATGGAGCTGCATCAGAGCCTTCTTGTACATTAAATTCAAGTGCAGCTGCAGTTCTAACTGATAGCCAGTAGGTGTCACTAGGTCCCCTGGCTGTGCCAGGCTGGGAACAGAGTAGCCATGAGAGCTCACTGCTGTGTCTCTTTGGGGCCCTGACAGGGGACATAGCAAAGGTAGGCAACAGCTGGAGGCCAGTGGCTTGCCAGCAGCAGAGCTGGCATTCTGCACACAGCTGCAGTTCTTAGTGCAAGGGCAGCCCCAGATGGCACCACCATGGGGAAAATGTCCCAATGGAGGAGGTGCACAGAGAGGCTGAGCCGCGCCAACCTGCCCTAGGAGGGCAGAGACTGTGAGAAAGCAAAGGAAGCCAGTCATGAGAAAGCAGAAACTGAAGCAGAGAGCAGTACTTGCGTCAAGTGAGAGTGCCTGAGCCCACATTCCCTAGGTCCACCCCGTGCCAACTTTGTTCCTGCTGCAAGCTGCTTCGCCCAGGTGAGCTGAGCATCCTCACCTGAGAATGCGATGATGGCAGTACCCACCCCAAGCAGTTGTGAGGACTGAAATATCCATTTTAGAAACTACTTCGCAGTTTGTCAATTTCTTACAAAGTTAAGCATACACTTACTGTACAACCCAGAAAGTCCCCCCTAGGTTTTACCCAAATGAAATGTAATCTGAGATTTACAGAAGAACCTATACATGTATATTTTTAGCAGTTTTGTTTACAGTCAGCCAGAACCATAGACAAGCCAAATATCCCTTAATAGGGAAATAGATAAATAAATTAGACAAATTCCATACAATGGTATCCTATTCAGCAATTTTAAAAAGGCGCAAACTCCAGAAACACACAACAACATAGATAACTCTCAAATGCACTGTGCCAAGCAAAAGAAGCTCCTCTCAAAAGACTGCAAACTGCGTAATTCCATTTTGATGACACTCTCGCAAGGCAAAACTATGGGGACAGCAAACACATCAGTGGCTGCCGGAGACTGGGACAGGGTAAGAGGTTCACAACCAAGGGACACAGAAGAAGGAGATATTGTTGGAAATAACTCTGACTTCCTGGTTGTCACTCCTGCCACACAGGGTGTACCTCTTCTCGGCTCCCCAGGGCTCGGCTTCCTATCCTGGGAAGCAGTGGGTTCTCCTTCCCTGGAAGTAACCAAGCAGAGGCTGGAGGAACTCTTAGTGGAGAAGTGACACAAGTCCTGAAAGCTTTTACCACGGAGAGACAATAAATACATATTTCACCCCGACCCTATGACATGTGATAACTGCAGTCATTTCTTTTCGCTTCTCCCTTCTCGTCCTATCCCCTCCTCCCCTCCTCTCTGTTATCTTCTTTTCTGTGGGAGGGGCCCAGGAATCTGGTTGTTCAACAGGTCTTCCAGGTGATTCTGATGCAGCCTAGAGTTTGAGAGTCATTGCCCTAGAGAAAAGAGCAGATATGCTCTAAATTGCAAACAGACAGGGAAAGAATTGCACCTTTGTGACGATGAAGGAAAAAAGGTGGCCTTGTACTTAACGTATGTGTACTTTGCAATATGTGCAGTTGGAGGCTCGGGAGTTCAAGCCATCGATTTACAAAGCAAACTCAATGAGAACATAGGGGCAACACCCAAAACACCCTCACAAGGATGAAGCCCTTCAACTCTGATGCCTTCAGGAAACAGACACAGAGTCCAGGAGGAAGAGTGATGGCAACATAAAGTTGTTTCAAAGAGTGTGATAAAATTAGCAAGGTCATGGGCAACACGCAGCTAGGAGGTTATGAGATATTCATCACAAACAGGACTATGACTAAGGTCCTGTTTACAAAGAGGAGATTTATGGGGATCCTGAGATAAGAAGAACCTGTGTTCTAAAGAGATCGTTAAAAACGACTGTCGTGGTTCTACAGACCCGAGAATGGGGTTAACAAGACAGTTCTCCTTCAATGAAGGAGGCAGCCTAATAAATTAAGAGAACCATGAGGCCTCCAGGTTTCAGGTTTTCCAGAATTGGAAAAGATCAGAGGCAAATTGTTCCTACATTATGCTTTTCGGCCACAGTTTGAGGCCCTTCCTCAGAATCAGGTACCTGGCCTTATGGTCTCCACGCTGCAGGCCCTGTCTGTGGCAGGCGCTGTCCCCCTGGACATGTTGTGCTGGGGGACCTGACCATCCTCTTCATGTTTGATTTCCTGCCTGTGTGCGACCTGCCAAACTTGACAAGAGCCTTCCTTGGAATCAAGTGGCACTGCATCCTCTTTCCCAGGAGCATGCTAACGCTTGGGTCCATTTGAGGAGCCTCTGGCAACATGGCAGCACAATTTAATGAAATCCCAGGCATTCCATTTGGAGGCAGGGATGGTCCCTCTGGAGACACAGGTGGGTCCGATGTCCTGCAAGGACTGGGGAGGGGTTTGCGTGGCCTGGGCATAATGACAGGCCTGTGGGTCTCAACTGTGACCACCACCTAGAGACACACTCTAAGAACAGAATTTGAGGGTGCAGGCTCTGCAGACAGATACCCAGCTCTGTCACTTTCTAGATGGGTGAGTCTGGACAAGTTATGAAACCTAGTTTCACATCTTTCTAAAATGGGAATATGCATATGTTAATGGTACCTACTCTTGTAGGACCAGGAGGCTCCTATGCCCGCTGTGCAGTAACAGACCAATTATAGTAGGTCAGCAGGGTTTACAGCCCAGAAAGAGTTTCATGATTACAGCGGCACTAAGTGAGGAGATAGAAGACCCTCAAATCCATCTCCCAGAAACGTTCTGGGCTGAGGTTTCAAGGGGATTGTGGAGGGTGAGGGGATGGAAAATTGGGGATGTTGATTGGTCAGGGGAAGGTGGAAAATCAACATTTGGAAAATGCATATTTTGGTGAGTCCGCTATTCATAAAGTCCTTCAGGCCTGCCACGTCAGTAGCTTTATCCATATGCAGGGCCTTAGGGATTATCTCAAAGGGAGAACTTAAAGTTTTAAGTTGTTATTTTTAGAACAGTTAAGGGGAACTATAATCTGATAAGAGGGTCTACATGATTCTGAGGCGACAGTCACCAAACAGCTGTGGAGAAGCGGTCAGAGAGCAAGCTGATCTCATGATTAGTGCCACAGGTGCTGCAAGCTCAGTTTATTTTGGTCTCTTTCCCTCCCTTTTTCCTTCTTCCCTGATCACTTTTATAAAATTGATAGAGAAGTTTGCACTACCCCATTGACTGAATGGAATAATGGAGTGATGTCTCTGGTTCAAGTCCAGGCACATGTTGGGACCTCCGCACTGGTGAGCTACAGTGACTGTGACTCCTGTGGGTGAGACAGACAAGGGTGAGTGGACCACTTGGCTGTACAGGGATTTCCTGGGAGGGGCTTATGCTGTAAACGTTGTTAAATTGTTTGGGTTATAAAAATTGTTCAGATTTATAAAATATAGGAAGGCAATGGAGACCACTCCCTTCTTTTCCCTGTTCCCAACCGCAGGCTGCAGAAAGACAATTATGATAATGTAGAGGTGCTGGTGCCTTTGTGATACTGCAAGCAACTTTTTCAGGATGGCCTTGAACTTGGGTGGGAAAGCTAGCATGGTAATGGGAATGGGTCGGGCACTGGCTGCTGAGGAGAGAGCATTGTAAAGACCGTGATGACCTTTAGAATTCTGTCATCAGTGGATTTGACCATTCATGGATGGCCCGAAGTTCTCTAGCATGTGGCAATTCATAAATTTACAAATACAAAATATTGAATCTTGCGTTCTCTGAGGTTGATGTATTGTAAATGGCTTAGCCAGTGAATGAGATTAGCAGGCTGCCAAGTGACCCTAAAACCATGGCTTAGTGGCTGTCGAATGCGGCACAGTGTTGAACCAGTCTAATTGTTAGAAATGTCTTTCTGAAAACTTTCTCACTCTAGAAGTCATCATTTATATCTGCATTCTGTTCCTAGTATAGGAAACCTTATTCCCTACTCCAAACAGTCGTTTCAAATAGCTGAAGAGCCACAGTGTGGAATCAGGCCAATATGGGAGACACCAGGGACTGGTAGTCCCTCATTTCAATACCTCATTAGAGGAATCCAGAGGCTTACCTAAGGGAGAATCTGTTTTTCATTGAAATCGACCACCATTCAATGAAGTTGCAGTTCTGCCTTGAACCACTAGGTGGCACTGACACTGTGCGTGGCAGACACTAGTGTGCGGGCTGAGAATGAGACCCCTTTTAAAAGTGAAACACGCACACTTTGAACCCCAATTTCGACTTAAATTGTTTTCGTACCACATTACTCGAAGGCATACAAACACAAAATCTATACTCTGTATGCTTATCTCAAAACAACAAAATTAAAATATAGAAATAGAAACAAAGCAATAAAATTCAAGTTAATGTGGGAGGTAATGTTATTCTACTGGAACTAAATGGGTGATGTGGAGTTTTTAACATCACGAATGAGCATTCACATTTTTTGCTGAATTGGACTTACGCCTATTTACTGTACACATGATGGACTTAACGCCTATTTACTGTACATATGATGGACCATCATTTAAGTCATTTTTTAAACTCCTACTTAAAAATTCACTAATTTTTTAACTATCAACCCATCCTTTTCATGGGCCAATAAACTGAAGAATACAATTCCAATCATTCAATGCACTTACCCCATTTTACACAATCCCTTGCCGTATTGATTCATAATAATGCTAATTACCTTTTAATTATTTCCCTAAAAGAGTTATATATAAATACAAACTATTACAGTAGCTATTAATATTTTCTTTGTGTCCTTCAGTGAATGAGAGCTAGCAAGACCTTGCGGAGCAGAAACTACCAGGCTTGCTCCATCCTTCCTGCCCCGCCACCAGGTGCAACTTGGGTCAAAAGGTGCAGCTGCTTCACCCCTATCCTGGAGGTCCTTGTGGTAAGGCCCCAACACACCTGCCTCCATCAGCTTTGTCATTAGAGGCAACATACCCCAGAACCATGAGCTGCTGACACTGGGTCTCCACTATGAGGCCAAATGGGTAGGTTACTGTCCCTTCCCTGCTCAGCTCAGCTCAGCTCAACCATCACAGTTCTGGGCCTTTGGGTGCAAGCTCTGAATGGAGTCTTAAGCAGAACAGCATCATATCCTGGGAGGACGACCAGGAAGCTGGGAATCCATATGAGGATTCCACCCATCCGTAGCTTCTGCAAATTAACATGTAAGGAGAAGAGTCCCATTAACTCACCCAAGCTACCAGGTCTTTCCCACAGGGTGCTGCACACAAAAAGAAATGTGAAAATAGGGCTAGACAACTTTTAGAAAAATTCCCAAATATTCCATTGTAACTACAAGTCTCTCTGACATCCGCAGTGGGAGCTGATCTGCACTGAGTAAGCAGCTCAAGAGTGAAGAATTGTTCAGTTCCAAGTAAACCCAAATCTCAGCCCTACAACTGTCACGATATCCCACTCTGCCTTTTTTTCCAAGAAACAAACTTTGTAGCTTCTAGAAAGTTCTTCATCCTTACCCAAGTAATTCTTCTAGAAGCATCTGCAATGAGCATGCTGTTTGCATTAGGCTCTGCTCCTAGAGATAGTAAGAGAAATGATACTGTTTACTGAGGTGGTGGACCTTGCAGAAATTAAAATACACATGCACACTCACAGATGTGAACATCAATGGGCACTACACCCACTGGAAGCTCTCAGAATGTAGCTACCCAGTCCAGTCTCTAACACCCCTGTGTCAATACAGTAACTAAGCAGAAAACATCAACCTGTGACTCTCTCACTTAGGTTCCAGGGGGACAGTTTGACTCATGATATCATCAGAAAAATGACAGACCAGGCTGTCACTC